GCACGCTGTGTGACAAAGAACTTCCTTTTGTTAGTTTTCAGCATACTACCCACTACTTTCCCTTTTTTGAGCCCCAGTTTTTGTATTGTGAGAGACGGTAAATAACAACTCCCTATCTGCTTTCTCTCCACCATTTAGTATTTTGTAAACTCCTATCATGCCGCCCCTTCAAGCGGCTTTTCTAAACTCAGCAGGCCTTTAATCTCTCCTCATATGGAAGCCCCTCTATACCACTAATCATCCATGCTTCCCTTCTCGGGACCTTCTCTAGTTCTTCTATATCCTTTTTGAAGTGTGGGGACCAAAACTGGGCACAGCATTCAAGGTGTGGACACACCATAGATTTATAAATCAGCTACAACCTACAATTTTCCATGCAGAAGAATAAAAAGGGGGAAAAAATATTAAAAAAAAAAAAAAAGCAACAGCTCCCGTTAGCACAGGTTTTATTGTGCCATTAATACGACCATAAACAAGAACAACTGTGTTTATAGGCTCCAGTGCTTCAGCGCCGAGTTGCTGACTTGGTGAAACTGCTGGGGCATCGGTATAAAGTGCAAAATGAACTGGATCGTTGTAGCCATGTTGTAAAACCATCTGGGCAGGTGACCTTTGAGCAGAAGCAAGTGATCGCTGAAAAGCATCTTTGCAGCAGCAGTAAAGGTAAGGGTTAGGTAGGAGAAGGGAGGCACACAGGGCGAAAACATGCCAGCTCCCTTGTTCTTTGGTGAGAGGAGTGGGAAGAGCCGCCCGTAGGACTGGGCAATGCCAACAGAGGAGGAAAGAAAAGCCTCTCTCCCCCAGGGGACTCTCTGCCCCCAGGATTCACTCCAGGGTGGGCGGTGAGACTTATCACGAAGAATGGAGGGATGGCAGTAATGTGGCGCCAGGTGCTGTACATATACTCAGCAAAGAGCCCTGTGCATCCAGGTCTTATGTGTTGTCACAAGGTGGACTGGGCTCCGCAGGCTGGGGGCAGGCTGTTTAAAGTCAGGAGGGGTTGGAGGGAGCAGTACAGTAGGTGCTCCAGGTGCTCTGTCCTGCTGCCAGGAGGAGCGGAGGGAGCTGAGACATCACTGCATGATCTCCCCTTCTGCATGTGGAGGGAGCAGGCGAGCAAACAGCAGACAGAGGAGGAGCTGGGGAATAGCACGGAGGGGCCCCCGGGCCACAAGGAGAGACATGCTGGTTCCCCATGATCCTTGCTCTTGCTCTGGCTCCTGTATGTCCACCAACTTTCCCCTCCGCAGAGCCAGAAGCAGGAGTTCAAGGGTGACGGCGTTTTGTGTGGCAAGATCCCTGCTCCCCAACAGGGAGAAGCAAGGGATTCTGGTGGTGCCCCCCATGCCACCCAGAGCATCCCTTCAACTTGCCCAGCCCTGGACCCTCCTGCCCCCTCCATATCCCCGCAAGGACAGCATCTATGAGGCTTTGCTCCCCCTGCATCATCTTCATGACCCGCGGCCCCAGTGCGGTGGACCCATCTGGGCTGTGCTGCATGATGGCAGTCTGGCACAGAGGGGCTGAGGCCGTGAGCAGCGAGCCTGGGGGAAGGTGCTCCACAGCAAGTGCAAGGAACCACTACACAATGTTGCACGCATCCCAGTGGTTTCATGTCTTGTCCCGTTGTCTCCTTTTGTCAGCCAGCAGGGCCCTGAGCATCCAGGCTTCCAGTCAACGTTTGCTGTCAGGCAATAAATAACACCGCTGGAGCCACTGGTGTCAACATCTTGGCATTGCTTGGGTCTCCTTGTTTGCCTTTAAAATAGCTCACCCGCTCAGGGTCACACACACAAAAGCAAGAACCCCTTGCTATTGTCTGCAGAAATTAGCCCATTGCAAATTCTGCTCAGCTGCCCCCCGCACCTCACTTTTCCTAAATAAAGCATGGGGTTTAACTAGCCACTGGAGCCTATTACTCATTTTCCATTGGTGTTTTTCCACTTACTATGTCCTGCCCTTGCCCGACCCAACATGTTGGCTTGGCGTGAGGAATGAGCGGCCATAGTTTGCCCAAGGCGGGTACGTGGTGATAACCTGCTGGGAATCTGAGGGTAGCACCTTCCCTGGTGTGAACCAACATAACCCCATCACCTCCAACAATCTTTGCTGTCACATGTGGGTAACAGAGCAGAGCACTGTATTTGGTTTCCAGCTTCACTCTGGAGGGGGGACTCATGGAAATCAGAGCTCAGAACCGACGCTCCATCTCCACGTGCATGGAGGCTCTTCGGGTCCAGATGGACCTTGCATAACGGGAGCCAGCGTCTGTGGGTCTTGCTATCCTTGCAGAAGCCCCCACACATACTTTGTCTCTCCCTGTTAGCAGTATATCCATGCTGCCATGGAGGTCTCAGCTCCAGGCATGAGAAGGAGATGGCAAAACTTGCAGGACTGGCACATGGCATCAGCTGAATTCCTCCTCCATTGCAGTCCTGAAGAACCATGCAAGTTCATGCTGCAGAATGAATGGGCAATGAAGTGCAGGGCAAGCTTTCCATGGTAGACGGATGCTGTTCTGAACAGGACTGGCTGGTGCTGAGGTCAAAGGGGACGAGCCAGTGTCCATGAGAGCACAACATGGCCAAACACTTCTGAGGAAGGAACAGAAGAGAAATGCAAGCACCGAGGCCTAGAGAGAGGGAGGAATATAGACCTAAGCAATGATGTCCTGAGCATTAGATTCTGACCCTGGCTTCACATGCAACATCCCTGCTCACACCAAAGCTTGAGGGGTTGCTAAACTGCACTGTCTTCCATGCAGTGCTGTAATACTAAGCCAAAAAGAATCAGCAACTAAGAGGGGAGGGACCAGAAAGCAGCTTTCTAAGCCAGCATTTCCCAGTCAGGGTGCTGTGGTAGCCTGGGGTGCCATGAGATCCTTTCAAGGGTGCCGCAGGGTGCGAGCAGACGCCTGCCTTTAGTGCACCTCAGTGGCAGAGGATGAAGAAAGGGAACTTTTGACTCTGAAACAAGTGTGAAGCTTTGGGCTTATCACGGTGGAGACGACCCTGCACCATGCTCCTCTGCAGAGAGCATAGCCTAAAACAGCTGATATCTTGAGAATCAACTGTCCGGCCAGGATCAGGCCTTCGATAGCCCCCAGCTCACCAGTCAGGGGAAGCAGGACTGATTCACAGGGGCCAAGGAGCAGAACAGTTTTAAGGAGATGATGGATTGGAAAGGCATCACCATCCAAATTCACAGTGCTCAATGCCCACGCCCCAAAAGCAGAGAGAGGCAGAGGGCCAGGCCATCAGGTGGTATACTTCAGATTCGCTTTATTGAAATCAAGAGTTCAGCCTGGATTTGCACTAAAACAAGTGAGCCGAAGCAGTGGTCCAGGCTGTCTCAGCAGAGCACCTCTCTGCATAATGCAGAGGTTTCCAACACACACCGCGGGAAAACAGGTCTTCTAGACATTCAACGCTCAAATTGCTCAGAGAGGCTGGAGTGAAAATGGAAAAAACCCGCTGCAAAATATGTTCCCGTTTAATGCTTCGGATAAGCAGCTGGCTTGGAACCCGCGGGGGCTTTGCATGAGAGTCCAAGGGGAAGCCCGTGTAAGCCTGCAGCGAGCGGTGCTCCTAGCGGGACAGCCTCTTAGGTCACTTCTGAAGTTAAGCGAAGCTGAAGGAGGGCTGGCGTCCCCCCGTCGCTCGGAGCATCTGCTCTGCCTCTAGCAACGCAGAGGGAAAGCTCCGCTCTCCGCTGCAGAGGCGGCGCAGTTTGATGCCAGATCTCACTCCCCTTGATTGCATTTAGCCTGCTGCTCAGAATAAAAAATGGAGCGATCCATTTCCCCTGACAGGAGGAAGAGGTGCTTCAGGAAGCTGCTCTATTCAGGCACCGTGACTTGACAACTTCCTGCCCATAAATAGCTAACCAGCTCGGCAAGGCTTTAATTTAGAAGTAACAAATCAAGTCGTCTGTAAAAATAATTTTAGGACGTTCCTGCCCCTCCCCCCCCCCTCCCCTTTTATTCTGGATTCTTAAAAAAATACAGGGAAATAGTCAAAGGAGGGGTCAGCGCTCACCCCACCGAAGTGAGTCGTGCCCCTCGGTGCTGAGCTCCCAAGAGCCCACGTCCCCCCTCCAAGCCTGCAGATGCTGCGGTGAGGAGAGGTCTTGCAGCTTGATGCCAAGTACCTTGGGGTAGGGTGGCCATCATAGAGGGTATTCCGGTTTTCTGCTGTTTTGTCCTCTATTGATACAAAACCCAATGCCTTTATGTCCTCTATTTTTCTCTTGAAGGACATAAAGGCGTAGGGTTTCGTATCAATAGAGGACAACCGGACTGTCCTCTATGATGACCACCTGACCTTGGAGGCTGTCCCCTTGATTCCTCTCACTCAGGCCTGGTGGAAACTGCTCTATGGGGCAAAGGGAATCGATATATGGGGTGAACGCAGCAGCAAAGCCACCCGTTTCCTCGGTGTCGTGTCCAAGGGTTTGGTGCGATGTAGCTCTTTACCTCCCTTACAGAAGGCAACCGATCTACGGACCTGATCCAAAGACCATAAGAATCAGTGATGTGAAGCAAAGTCACAAGGGGCTTCTTTGCCTTCAGTGAGCATCCCCAGTTGTGTGTGGATGCATTCGTTTTACAAAGCTGGTAGGGTGGGGAAAGGCGTACCCAATTATTTTCCCTCTCAAGTACGGAGCTCTGACTCAGACCGCACACGGACGGCCGACCGGCTGTCGACCAACGTGCCGTTTTCACAGCTGTGCCTACAGTCTGAAAAGCGGCCGAGTTCACAGCTGTGCAAGCCTGTAAGCACCCCAGCCAAACTACAACTTACCCAGAAGGGTTGTTGTCAGCTCTGTTTTATCGTAAGTCCAGACGGCACCCGAAGGGCTCCCAAAAATCATTATTTTTTTCAAATCTTATAACCTTTCAGAGTTTGGCTCATGTTTTAAGTGCTTGGAGTTTACCCTACTGGATACAACAAGGAAGTAATACAAAAGAAAATCTATGTTTAAAATTTTTATTATTGGTATTTTTTTTTTTTTTTACCATTTCTGGTTTAAAATAGCTCTTTCTTTGGAGACAGAACTGGAAGAACGGCGTGTTTATTTCATGGCTGACTCGTCGGGCCGTGTGGATAGGATAAATGCTTCAGAAGCTAATGCTCTATAGAGATGATTGTTTTTAATATAAAACAGTAAATGTTTAGAACAACAGGTTCCCCGCTCCCCCCTTTCCTGCCATGGCCAATAAACCATAAAAAGGCCACACAGTTTACATTTTAATAATATTAAGTTACTTGGTGCCATGTTATTGCAGTCTTTATTGGAAAGTGGAATAAATTGCACACAGAGGAGTCAGAAGAGGGAGAAATCATCATGAATAAACATAGATTCTGGGATGCATTTATTTTTTGGTTTCATCTCAGGAAGGTAAAAAGTTTCCTTGCGAAAACAGACGCCCCCATCCGTCCTGCTTTGGGGAAGGGTCTCCCATTCACTTCGGCAGAATAAAAGCTTTTAGGGAAGCAAGTACCACAGAACCGGTCAGTCAAGGAGAACGAACCTGGGCACGTTCGGTCATCGTTCTCACACACCCCATCCGAGAGAAATCTGTCTTTCAATACAGAATCAGATTGACTACTTGGAAACCTTCCAGTCCCAAAGCTCCAAGGCAGCCAGTCCTTCTACCTGCAATCCAGTAGTGAGAAAGGTAGAAAGGTTGGTCCAGAGTGTTTCATGGGAAGCTCAGTTTCTACGCCAATGCCAGTGCACACCAAGAGTCCTGACGGAGGGGGACGCTGAGTCCTGATTGCGGAGTCATGGCAGAAGCGAAGGTGTAATCCTCAGGCTCAAATTTGAACTCGGAGTGGCCGCCGGCCAGTGTATCGTCTGATTGGCTTTGAGCCTAGGGAGATGATGATAAGGACTGAGTTAATATAAAACTATGGATGGTTTTTACGTAGCAATCTCACGTTGAGAAAGTGATATAGCTCCTTTTGTTCGGCATCACTCAGGGATGTCACAGGCTTGTGCTCAGGTCTTCTCACTTATTACTGGGGCTAGGGTTTTCAAAGGTGCCCGAGGGAGTTTGCGGCCCAGCGTGCATTGATACTGAATGGAAATTGGGCTGCTCACTCAGGCTCTTTTGGAAACCCCAGCCATTTGGTTGGACTGAATTCTTTGGGATGAAGGGGAAGTAGCAACAACAGATTACAGAGAGCATGTTATCGGCAGAAGGATGATTATCATATTTGTCATAACGTAGGAACATAAATGTGACAGATCATGAGCATGATAGATTAGATCCGACAATAATTCTATACTCAGGAGAACCCCATAACCAGGCAGAAGAGATGCTTTGTGCTGAGACCGACGTGCACAATTTCTGTCTCTCTCTATGTATCCACTAGCCGTGTCCCATTCAGAGACCGCTGGGCACCTCTACTTTCAGAAGCACTACACAAATCAGATTTATTGGTGTCAGGATAAACATCTCCCATACACTGGAGATGGCTCCAAGCCAGGCAGCATGGATCTCAATCTGAGCTTCTCACAAATGCAGGCAAGTTGAGATCTGAGAGCTTGGATGGACCCAGCAACGAGACAACGTGCAGCCACAGTACTTGGCATTGCAGACTGGGTTGCAGCCATCTCTTCACCGCATGGATAAAACCTGCTCAGACAAAGCCTCAGGGCAAAAAAGGGGTCTTGTACCCAAGACCGGTAGGAACTGCTGATTTTGCTGCATCTTCACCAATGAAGTACAGCTCAAAGCTGCAAAGGGAGCTCCACCCAGAAGCATGTGCATCTAACTGACATGTTTAGGGGTCTGGAATTTCCTACACCAGGCTCCTCATGCTTACACTGGTTTTACAAACCCATAACTCCACTGACTCCATTGCATTTACTTCTAGGTCAGCACTGAGTGAATTCAGATCACGTTCTACCTGGTCTCCAACTCCTTAACAGTTTGCCACTTCCTGGACATGAGATGCTTACTGTGCATTAGCCTAATAACACTGTGCAATAACTTGTCACGGCAGAAACCATGCTAATAGCCTACTGCACAGTGTTATTAGGCTAACGCGCAGTAAGCGTCACTAAATAACCGTGCGCCAGCACTACTGTGCAGTAACTCTAGGTACTGCGCATTTAGTTAGTATTTTATTAAGTACTAAACTAAATGAGCAATATCTAAAGTGCATTAATGAACGTGTAGATGCACCCCCTGTCCCTGAGCAAAGGTGCCAGGACTTTCAAGATCTCCTGCCCCAGGGAAGCCCCACAGATGTGCTCACTTGGCCTTGTTATGGGCAGGTCCAGCCCTGAAGTCTCATTCTCTACTTCATGGAGAATTTCCACACACATGGTTTTCATTTCATGTTGGAGCAAAAATCAAATTCAGAAACACTGAAACCCTTAATGGAAGGTCATTGCTGTTCTCTGCCCAGCTCTACAGAGTGCCTGTACCAATGCCTCGTAGTTTCCAAAACAAAAGGTGCAACTGGAGGGAGAGGACACGCTAAGGGGATGTCCCGCACCAGGCAGTATCTAAACCAGACCTATTGCACAGAAACTTAAGAGCATCTCATATGAAGTCAATGCAAGTCAGTGCAAGTCGCTCTCTCCTCTTGTGCCTTACCTGGGAAACCGACACGATCGTTTGTCCCGGGAACTGCGATGTCACACTGGGCTCGGTTTTTAAAGTGACGGTGCTGTCTGAGTTTGTAATGGAGGAAGGGGAGTTAGTGGCTGAAGTTGTCGACCCTGAAAGGCAATGGTTACAAGTTTGGTAAAGCAACACAGGCACCGATCACTTTTGAAAGCATTTATATTTTTATGGCTGCCTGCGCTTTCATCGAAGGGGAGACTCTCCGATCTCACAATGCTACCGTTGCATAGGAGTATATGGCACCACCAAAGCAGAGCTGACTGGTAGGGGACATGATAGAGAAACCTGGGTGGGAGGTAGAGACATGATAAATGCATGCTTTATTTCTCATGCATCTGCCTGACGGAGGCTGGCATTCCTCCAGAGTCCATCAGGGCTGCCCTCCAATCTGCTGGAGGGGTGCTGCAAGTGAAGCATGAGGCACAGGCCATCTGGGGCATGCCTGCATCCTGCTTTTTCCTTCTACCCCCTTGCTGCCTACCTTAGCCTGATTGAGAGCCCCACAGCCCCACAACCCATTACCCACCCTGCTCCACACCATCTGGAAAGTCTGATGGCAGAGACATCAAGGGCTCTTGAAATGAATTTTCCTTCCTAGGTCTCTCACCTCATTACTCCTGCCAAGCACCAATGGGTAAGACTAGGAATTGCATATGTCTTCTAAAAAGGCAAGCAGCTAAACAGTTAATGCCACAGCTTTGTTTCTGTTGTCACACAACTTTGGGGAGTGAGCCCCCCACTGAGATGAATGGCGCTGTTTGGACTCAAGAAAACAACAGTTCCTCAAGCTGCATCTAAAGGGTTTTCTTTCCCACCACGACAACCAAAAGTCCCTTCTCACCCCCATGCTTTTTTCTAAGAGAAGAAGACGACCAACCAGCTGTATCGGAGACCAACCAATTCCATAGTAATAGACTTATTCAAAACATCGGACCCTGCTTATGGTCTAAGCCAAAAGGAAGGGCAAGTAAAGAACAGTACCTGTTGAAGTTTTGCCTTTGCTAATGTTTTTAGGCTTCCTTTTCCTCGTCTGGATGCTTTCCTTTTTCATTGCCAGAGGTCGTGGTACCTTGACATCCATAAAGTTGAGAACCATTAATATTGCATTTTACTTAGGTCGTAACCACAAATTTGCTGCTTTTCTGTTTACATACTGTAGTGTGTGTGATGCACTTACAGGCCTTGTCCTTCAGTACGTGCTATTTTTCTTTGCAATAGGCCTTGGCTGGAAGATGTATAAGGCTGAACAGCTAAGGGTTTCCCACAATTTTTTCCCCCCCTAATTTCCTATTTTCCTTTTCCTGATTTATTAGTGACCTCTACAATTGCATCTAATTACATTATACCAGCATCTGGGGAACTCAATGGTTTGCACATAATCATCGCTTTAACCACTGGGCCATCAGTTTCTCTGGTCCAGGCTAAAGGATTAAAGCAGCTTTCTGACCTATGGGCAGGTTTTTGGTAATTCCCATCCTTAGTGGATAAAAGTTATTATGACAAAAATCCCATTCCCAATTTGACACTAACTGGCCCCTATGTAGAAGACGAGAGGCACCATATATTCAGTCGGCATTGGGACTATCCTCTCTGAATGGCCTTTCCAGGTCAAGTGTGGTATGATTACAATAAAAGAAAGTCTATCCTCCTCAAACCAGGGAACTCCAAGGTTAGTAATTAATATGGATCTTCTTAACACATTAAAATAGAAATATGAGCCAAAAAAGACTCATGCCTTTGCCCCCGTGACAACAAAATGGAAAGCAGAGTGACTGTATTTAAAATGCTTGTGTGTTAAGGCCGGAAGAGCCTGCTAACGATTACCTGCTCTGAGCGCTGGTATAACCCAGATCCCAGAGAGCCAGCTAGTCATTTCTGCATCAGGCCTGTCATTGCTGTTTGAGCAATGCTGCATCTCTTAGGAAGACATACGGTGAAGTAATGGAGACTCCACCATGCCCGTAAGCCTTCATGGGTGAAAAGACACCTTATTTCTAGTCTGAATTTTTCTTCCTTTAGTTTCCAGCCACTGGATCTTGTTTTTTGCCTTTTTTTCTGGTAGGTGAACAAGCCATCTACTGTCAAAAAATCGAACCTGGGGAAAAGTAATCTCTTAGCCTTCTCTTGAAGCTAAACTAAACAGACTGAGCTTTTCGTTACACAGCACTGGATCATTATTGTAGCTCTTTTCTGAATCCTTTCCAGTCGCTGGACTGGATGAAGCTGCTGCTTTGAATATAAAGTCAAGGCATGGTATTTTGAACCCCTTGGAAAATGATGAAAGGCGTGCCTAGAATGGTTTCCTTCAGAGGATGAGCGAGTTCCTTACCCCATGGAGCTTCATGTATAATCCACAGGCGTTGCAGACGGGTTCTCCTTCTGCGTTGCGTCTCCAGAGGGTGGTGTTGGTTGTGTGACAGTTAGTGCAACAAAGACCAGCACGTCTAGATGATGACTATAAAAAATAGAACATATGCACGCACATGAGACAAGAAAAAGTAGGAGTTTGCATGAAGAGGAAAAAGAAAAACCTCAGCTTATGCCGATTTCCTGGAAAATGAAAAATGCTGAAAAATGTCCGAGATAACAAAATTCACATAAAAGAAATTGCATTCTAGTGAGATCATTTTCATTTGCAAATGCTTTTTTATTGAGATTGATAAACCTGCCAGATATCCTTTTAATCTCTTGCATTAATGTTAAACAAATCTGTTCCAAGAAGTAATATTTCATAACATGGTGCAATGATTTCTAAGCCATCCAGTCAGATGGAGAACGATTTTATAAGAACTGTTATCCAAGTTTATGAGCAGAAATTTTACAAACTCTATAGAAGCACATTGTTGCTCTAACTCAACTGTTCTTCAACTGTACTGTACACAAACCCCCATTAAATTACCAACGGGCAAATGAAACTGCTATAAAACTGCTGGAGTCAATGGAGTTACGTCAGTGTTGGCTGAACTTTGTAAATTCGGTATGAAAAAATTATGCTTTGTGTGTGTTGCATATGGTACGTCTCATCTAAAAGACCAAAAACACCAGATAAAAATTAATGAATGATCCATTTTTCTGGTCATTGATTCTGGAATTAGGCCTCCAAATGACTGTTTCTTTAGGGTAGAAGAAACACTTTGGCAGAAGCCGCAACTGTCAACCGTATCTGTCAACTACATGCTCAGCCATTGGGAAAGTCAAGAGCTCCCAACACAGGGTTTTAGCTTGTCAACTTATGGTTGTTTCATTATAACATCTCTTAATGCTAGGCATTCAAAGTATTTTAATAGGACACTTCAGTAAGTGGAAGCATACCAGCACCATATTTAATATTAAGGACTATCTCCACATTCAGATGTTTGACTGACATTCTTCAGCCTTGAGAAAATAATTTCAGTTCATCACAGAGACAAATGACACATGATGTGAGCTAGGAAGAATTCAACATCTGTTTATTTTTCCATTGCGGCTTCCATTATTACTCAGCCTTGCGATAAATTAGGCGCAATGAGTAGGAATAAAAAAGAAAGGCTTTGCATCGTTAGTAGGCAAGTAGAGAATCAGGTCTGAGTTTCAGAGATGTGGGCTGATGTGACACTCATCTGATTTTTTTATGTAAAGAGGTTTCATGGTAACTAGCAGCAAATAATGACGTTGCTTTATAAAACTCTTTCGTTTTCAAAAAAGTAACCTGTCAAAAACATAAACCCAAGGTGCAATCTGGTTTAATCGGTACCTGTGTTAAAATTTTTCCTTAGCAAGTCCTGTCCCTAGCAAGAAGAACAGAGCCATGATTGTACCTGGGCAAAATCCTGCTCTCAGAGATGCTACCTTAACTCTTGCTAGGCCCCGTCCATGAAAGCCCCATGTACAACCTGTGCCAGGCCCAGTCCATGAAAGCCCCATGTACAACTTGTGCCATGATCAATCCTGCAAAGTGTTCAGCCCCTCTGCTAAGCCAGAGAGAAAGGAGATCTGCCAGTGCCACCCTGGACTTGTCCCACCAAGGCAGCTTATACAGCAAGCCAATGGGATTACTCACAGAAATAAGTGCTACACCTGTTTCTGAGGGTTGGGGTTTTCAGAACTGCTAACGGGTGGCTTGGCTGTTCCCACTGAAGACTGCAGGGATTTTCTAGGGAGTGGGACCAAAATAAGGCCAATGGGAAGAATCTGAAAGTCTCGGTGTTTGCAAGTTGAGCTACCAGAAGAGACACTTAAGGGCTTGCCTATATATAGCAACAGCCACTGGGTTTGGAGAAAGGGGGACTTCAAATTCAATAGTTAAGTGCCTCAGGACTTGAGTGTGTAGAGTGTGAGTGGACCTATCCAGCTCTGTCCTGCCTTGAACCAGCGGACTCAGTGAAGGCTCAGGTCTCATGACAGGGGGTTGACCCAGCGGGTGCCTATACACGAGCAGCGAGGCTGCTCCAACATGCTGCGATTGCAGCGCATCGGACCAGACTCAATTAATCAAGGCTGCTGGATTGTGGTAATTACCGTGCTCCAGCATCTCATGCATCAGCATCCCCATGCTTAAAAATGGCAGTGGGGGCTCGGTATCTCAAGCTCGTTCTTTAGATAAAGCGACCTCGCC